TTGCTGATCTTCTATCGTAGTTGAGTCCTTGAAGATCTCAAACTCCAACACTATCTTTATCCGGATTGTGTTCTCTTCATATAAGGAGACTTTCTCCCCTTATCCAATATGCAACCTTTTCGATCAGCTCAGGAGATATTGCTGCTTGATCAATGGGACTTATCTCCTTCACGTGTATCTCACATGTGTAGGTTGATCATGACTGTGCTTCACATGATGGACCTGGTCCATGACTGAGTTCATTTGTCATTCTTCAAAACTTCACCTGTTCTTGGGCCAACAGGCACCATGATACTCGAAAGTCTAGATCGTATTGTGGCAAATTATGAATGGTTAACTATCCAAAGCACATGTTCAACGTTTACCCAAAACTCATTCGGACCATTGTCCTTTATTGTTAACTCTTAATAAAAATACTCCTCCAGGAAGTAATATTTTTGGATTCGAAACAATGTGGCTGTCACACCAAGAGTTTCCTCAATCGTTTGATCGAATTTGCAACAACAACCCTCCTTTATAGAGGCTATTGAAAATTTTACTACCTTAGTCAAAACATGGAACAAAGACTCTTTTGGTAATATCTTTTATAAAAAGAATAATATCCAAGCAAGACTAGCGGGAATTCAAAAATCTCCAAATTACCCCACTTGCAACTTCTTACAAAACTTAGAAAAAGATCTTATATACCAATATAATCAAATTCTCACCCTTGAAGAAAATTTTTGGAAATTAAAATCGCGTATTAATTGGCTTAACCAAGGGGAATCCAATACAAAAATTTTCATCTGTCTACCCTAAAAACAAGGCGCCGTAATAGAATAATTGCTCTTAAAGATTCTACAGGAAATTGGGTTTCAAACAACGACCAACTTCAGCAACTAATTACGCACTATTATCACAGTCTCTCATATAACTTCCTACAAGACCTACAATCCTACTAAATGCAATACACTATCACAAGTTGAAGCTACTACATTATCAATGCCAGTGACTGATCAAGAAAAAATAGACGTTGTGCATTCTTTCTAACCACTTAAATCTCCTGGACCTGATGGACTTCATCCATTATTTTATCAGAAATTCTGACCTAAAAAAAATACTCAGTAATTCAATTCTGCAAAAATATATTCCAAAAGGCCAGATTTCCATAGAATTAAACAAGACATATATTTGTTTAATTCCTAAAATAAAGAGCCCTTCAACTACGAACCACATTCACCCTATTAGTTTATGTAACACTTTTTACAAAGTAATCACCAAAATTATTGTTAATCGCATTAAACCTTTTATCCATAAAATTATTCACCCTACTCAGTCTGCTTTCCAAAAAAATCGAAGGGCGACAGATAATGCAGTAATAGTTAAAGAATTATTAAACCATTTTAGAAATTCTAGATCAAAATGCTCAAGCATGCTTCTAAAAATAGACCTCGAAAAAGCTTTCGATTGGATGGAATGGAGCTTTATACGCCATTCATTAACCTTTTTCAAATTCCCTCCAAAGTTAATATCTCTCATTATGGTCATGTGTCTCCACAACCTCTACTGCAATCCTTTTTAGTTGATCTCCCACAACATTCTTCACACCATCTAGAGGTATTAGGCAAGGTGACCCGCTCTCACCATACCTTTTTATTATGTGCATGGAAATGTTATTTCGGAGGATAAACAATGCGGTGGATTACAATCAATGAAAACCTATTACCATGAACGCTAAAGCACCACAAATATCACACTTATTCTTTGCAGATGACATTATCTTGGCATCCAAAATAACCACTTATAGTTGTCATAAAAGTATTGATTTACTGGACCAATTCACTCTGCACTCAGGTCAAAAATTAATTTTGAAAAATCAAGGGTTTACTTCTCTAAATATTGTTTAACGACTGATAAGAATTTCATACTTTCCTCTTTCAATATGATGGAAGGTAAATCATTTGAAAAATACCTGGGTTTTCCTATCTTCACTTCAAAGCCCACCAAAAGAGATTTTCAATCCTTAATTGATAATTTCAAAAATAGGCTTGCAGACCGGAAAACTAACCACCTCACAATGGCTGGGCGTACAACTTTAATCAAGGCAACTCTAAATACAATTCCCAGTCACATAACGCAAATTATGTCACTTCCCACACACTTAATTTCTAGATTAGAAAGCTATCAAAAAAACTTTCTTTGGGCCTCTACCTCTCAGAAAAGACAACTACTCCTAATTAGTTGGAACAGAGTAACTACTCCAAAGGAACGAGGCGGACTGGGCATTTAAAGACTAAGGGACAAAAATGATGCCTTATTATCCAGTACAGCTTGGAGGCTTTTTCATCACCCACGCACACCTTGCGCATCCTTTCTAATCTCTAAAAACATTACCACTCCTAAGCACCCTATTAAAAGAACCTCCATCTTATGAAAACACCTTACCAATGGATGGAAGATTTGCCAAACTGGATTACAATGGCATATCACAAGAGGTAACCATGTACGCTTTTGGACCGACAATTGGATAGCTCCCAACACCAATATTAGAAGCCTTATTCATGGGCCTTTAAATTATAACGAAGTTAATCCATCTGTAGCTACTGTTCTCCAATTCAATAGATGTTCGGCCACCACCCATAAACGAATCAATTTGCCTATGTATGTCAAATGGAACCCACCCCCATATGGAAACATTAGATTAAATACGGACGGGGCAGTCAGTACAAACAAATTACAAGCGGGATTTGGTGGAGTATTCAGAGATAACTTGGGTAATTGGGTAATGGGCTTTACTGGACATCATCAATTGTCCAATTAATGTTATAGATATCAAACTCATGGCATTACTACGTGATTTGTAAATTGTAGTCATGCACAGCCTAACTCCATTGGAAATTCATATGGACGCACAATAGGTAATAACTATGTTGCAAACCCCTGCCATAATGTACTCACCTTTGTTAACTGATTGTAGATTCCTGATCCAACAATTGAGTAATCGTATAGTAAGCCACACATACAGGGAGCAAAATATGGTAGCGGAACAACTCGCACATTTTGGAATGGACTTATCGGGCAGCACCATCACCTTTTTTGCAGATCCTCCGCACTTCATATGGCGGCAACTTATGGAAGATAATTAGCAGGGCCATACGAAAATTAGAATGGGTAGCACAAAAAATACCACTATGTATGGATCATCGCAAACTTTTTGTACAATGTTGGACGTGCCTTTCACAAACACTGAATCCAGCATAAACTTACATCATCAGCCCGTCCAAAATATTAGTCATACTACTTGTCAAAGTGTATCAAGGCACAATAGTGCCAATAGGTATTTTCCTACGACTTATTGTAATTCTGCTCAAGTGCAGACGCTCCTTGCACTGCAAGCTTAATTAATAAAAAATAGCCTTTTAAACCAAAAAAATTGCCCAATAAAATTGACCAAAGATAATAGTTCTAAAAAACACATCAGTGCTGCTTCTCATATTTTTTCTAGTCTCGTGTCGTTTCGAGAGCCTTCCTCTCCTCGTGCTTTTCTCATTTTTTTAAGTCGTCGTTCTGAATTTTTTTTTATATCCCGGGGAAAAAGTACCTCAAAATAGAGTCCAACCACAATGATCAAATTGATTATTTTCATGTATAAAGATATACTAGTTTACTGTATTATTTTTAGTAGGATTAAACTAAGTAAGTCGTAACTTTTAAAGGGTCTGTTTATTTTTAATTTTTAGGGATGAAAATTCCCTGGCTATATTCGCTGGAAAATTACATTATGTATATAAGGTCAATTTTAAAAGGGCCCGTCTTAATATATTTATTTTTTTAATCTTGTTGGTGAAAATTTCGCATCCACCTATCCAAAAGTATGCAATAGAGAGGCAGAAAAAGGTAAAGGACAAGACGTGTGGATGAGTAAGAAGTAAAAAATACTACATACAAGCCTAGATATTACTATAGCGAAGAGAATATCGGTATTTTCGCAAGAAACAAAATTAAGGAGTTGTATGTGCTAGAGACATGAACTATTTTCTGTCACACATCCATTAAGATAAGGTTTTAGATAGCTTCTGATAAGAACCTTTTATTCTATTTTGTTAGTTGGGTGTGGGAGCATCTTACATTGGAAGTTGTTAATAAATCTAAATATAACTATAGTGAAAATTTTCATCGTACGAGGTCTTTTGGAAAATTGTACCGCATGCAAATTTAATCTAAAACGAATAATATCATATCATATTAAAAGTCACTTTTGGAATGACTTAATTAGCCCAAGACATTCATCTATCTTTTCAATGTCTTTGTGTAGTTGGTAATCAAGATTGCCTTCTTGAGCAGTTTTACGCGCAAATCTTGAAACTACACGAGCAGGGGCGGATTTAGATTTACAGTGCACGTGAACTTATGGTCTTTTCGCCAAACTAGAAATTTTATGTATATATTTCGTAAAATTGATCAAATATTGCCTTTTGGTCCCCCATGCAGAGGCGGATGCAGGATTTAAGTTCTATGAGTTCAATCCTGAAGGTTTTTTTGCCATATGAACCCATTGTATTTTTAAAATTATGGGTTCAAACATACTATTTGTTACAATTTTAATAAATTTTCAAACATAAATTTATGGTTCGCGTCGAAAGTACTGGGTTCAATTGAACCCGGTGTTACAACTCTACATCCGCCTCCGCCCCCATGCTCCAAAAAGATTGAACGTTGCACTTGATTGAATGTTGAGCTATTTATCCAAGGGACATGGCTCGATTCCCACTTAGTACTTCTTTTTCTCGCTTTTTTAGTGGTGCACCCATATTTTAGAAATCCTAGATGTCTCTGTCCGCGAGATATATTAGGTTAACTCATGAAGATAGAAATTGTGGTAGATTTATTCTTACTGCCTATTATGGATTGAGGAAAATAATGTCGTATTTTCAGACTATTACATTGTTGGTTTTTGCGTGCTCGTGAGACTTACATTTAGAAATTCGACGTTCAAAATGCAACTGAAGAAAACAAATTACTTAAACTGAATTTATAAAACAAATTACCAAAGTCCTAGAAAGTCCAGAAGAAGCAAAATTCAACTCTGATAATTGACACTTAAACATGACACACAAACAAAACATACAAGACATCAAAAACATAAAATTTTCAAAAAATACTAAAGTGAAACTAAACAAATTAAAGACCCAATGATTTGTGTCGAAACTTATTCCAACAACAACAACAACTACTCCTCAGTCCCAAATAAGTTGCTGAAACGTAATTAGTTGGTGCCGCCAAGGACACCCTTCAACTTCTTGATTGTGGCAGCATCAAGGAACGTAGTAGCCTGCACAATTTCAGTAGCCAAATCATTAGCAAAGAGAGCGAAATCTGTAATTTGAAGACCTGGAGTTGGACTACTGAATGAAACAATAGCTAGAGCTGCAGTTTTCCCAGAGTTAATCTGGAAATGCAACAACCCTTGTGGGAAAACCATAATGTCTCCTTTTTTAAGGTTCTTGAAAAAAACTTTGTTGTCTGAGGAAGAAATAAATCCAGCACAAATTTCTCCTGTTACAACATAAAGTACTTCTGATGCTCCAGGGTGTGTATGCATTGGGATAACACCACCTATAGCTAAATCTAGCCTAGCCATTGAAATTCCAAGACCGTTAAGTCCTGGAAATTGAGGAGCAAAAGCAGGAGTGACTGCAGCTTTAATGAGAGGGTTAAGTTTAACTGGAGTGGCTAGGCCAGAAAATACAAAGTCATTCGCAGTTACTGCGGATGGTTTTTTGCAGGCGTAGCCGCCTGGTCCGTCGGGGACTGATAAGTCCCCGACACAAAAATCGAGGACGGCGGCTTCAGAGGAGAGGAAGAGAAGGGAGAAGATGAAGAAAGATTGGAAAAACATCTTGTGAGTTCTTTTTCTGAAGATGGTTTTGCTAGTTGAGGAGTGTTTGTTATCTTGATAGGGTTTTGGCGTACGTATTTATAGAGTTGAATTTGCATGGATATTTTATTTTATTTTTTTATTACTATTGGTTATTAGAGATATGGCGCCCATGCAGAGAAGGTTTCACGTGCATGCTTTTAGGGTATGAAGGAAACGACATATTTTGGGCTGTGATGCATGTGAACGATGATTTTTTGTCGTAGAATAATACAAGAATTCTCTTTTTTGAGATTTTGTTTGAATTTGTTCGAAAAGGCAGGCATATTCCAATAACTAAAAAAAATTATTCCAATTAGTTAGGAGAGTATTTTGTATGTAAAATATGTCAACAAGTTCAATGTAATGATGGATTGTGTACGCTCTTATGAGAGTTTGAAGCGGTTCAATTGAATCCCCTATGTAGAGAAAATTACATGTAGTTAAAATTAAAGATTCTTATGCGTATATATAAGTTATTGAATCTTCTTGTGGCAACGAAACTTTAGTATAGTTGTAAAGACAAGCTATGATTTAGTTGTAGGCAATTTGAACCCATTTAAGTTGTGACATTTTATCATTTTTTCAATCCCTTGTTGGAATATCTGATGCCATACCACCACTGACTTTTACATATTTCAACATTCTATTTGTATAAATTGACGATTTTATTTTCGGGTAAAATAATCTTTTAAAGACAAAGATAAGTATTCAGAGAGAAGAGAATACAAAAGAGGATGTCAGGATCGATACTCTATATTATATCAACCTGTTTAATACTAGAGTTTTTTGTCAAAACTAATCTGACAAAGGGACACAAATTAAGGTATAATATCTCTTTTCATAGCTATCAGCGTCTTCACCATAGCAAACCTTTTAGTTTGCGGAAATTATTGTTTTCATTTTATTGTCGAGAACTTTTATTTGTTTAAGGAGAAAAAAATATCTTCTTTATTGAATGTACAGAAAGAAGATTAGGATCGTTCGTTTTAAGGGTTTGAGAGAAGAAATTCTTTGGATGGTGCCATGGTGGTGGTCCAATGAGAACATGGACAAAAAACAATTTGAAAGGCACAAAGAGACATTTTGACAACTAAAAAGGGGTATATGAAAGTCTTCTGACACAAAAAGGATGACCCTTAATTCAAATGTGTGGATATTGTAAGTTCCCTATCTTGTACGCCGTTTTGATTTTTCTAAGGTTTGATTAGTTGCAGTAATATTCTTGTTTCCCTAATTCAAATCCATGTGGTGGTTTCTTATTGGTATGTAGGTTTCTTTAAGGAAAAATACCTAAAGTCCCCTAAACTTGTTCCGAAAACTCAATTGAACACTTAAACTAAACGGGTATTTCTTTATCCCATTTTCATTTCAAGTAAATTTAATACCTCCTTAAAAAATGATCTGACAAGGATTCTCCCAAACTCTCGTGGAAGGGAGAAAAAGGGATAAAAAGTTGATCATGTATTTTCTTTTTTACCTTTGTTCAATTATTATTTTTCCCTCTCTCCACCTCTTTTCCCAACCTTGCACCAATATTCTTCTTCCATCCACAGCCACTCACAGTATATCATTGTAAGGGGTAAAATATGTTCATATTTAATGATCACATGAGAAAGCGACACGTGGAACCGAAGGCAAAAGATAGCTAAACTTGAATGCAATGATCTCGCTTGTTACCGGAGAGATTTGATACTCATAACGACGCAATTAATGCCGCCATCCGGTAGCATTCAGTGAAGAATATTCTACAGCATTAAGTGCATGATTCGTTATAGAGCAAATGGTATTCACTGCCCACCATTACACACTCTTCAATGACCCTCATAATTGTCGTTAAAGAGGAGCTTAATCCTAGGACCTTGTTCCCTAGGTGCAGCTATAAATAGTGAGCTCTATCATCTTTGTAATGGACACGAATTTTCTGACAAGCATACACTATATTCTATCAAAAGCTTAATAACATTTTACTTTCTTGCTTATTTGTATTATTCTTATTGCTCTACACCCGGAACCAAGATGTCTGCCGTCTATTCCAAATTTTAGGCTAAGTCTTATATTTCTGTTTGATTTATCTATTATTTTTTGGATCAAATTAATTCCGTTGTCTATTAACCACGTATAAATTCAACTGTATTATTTTCCGGTTAAAAGTTTGGCGCCCACTATGGGGCATAGACAGTCGTGTAATTGAATTGATCCTTGCATCTGTTAATAACTTGTTTGATTCTTTATTCTTAGTAAAAATCATTAAAAATGGCAGATAATGGTGTTAGCAACACACACAACGTTGAGGCCCAAGAAAATCATTCTCAACACGAGGATTCAATCAGTGATACTTGCAACAAGAGGAATGAGGCCACGCCGGTCCACGACGGCCGATATCCGCGACATGTTCGGGAGGTAACTCCTGATGATGTTAAAGAAGAGCACGTCGTCAAAGCGGTCATAGTCTTGCAAAAGCAACATGAGGTCATTATAGGCCATCTCACGCGGTAGGATAAGGTCATGATAGAACTGAAGCGGGCCTTGTCGGGCGCTTCCAACAATGCAAATGGGCGAGGCCCAGTTGTCCCCGGTGCTCCCGCAAAACAAGCGGCGCAGAGGGTCGACAACAATACCCCGAGGGGTGAGGTCGGCTTCGATGGGGCTGGGGGGAACAGATCCGGTCACAACAACGAGAATGATCCCTTTAAAACCGAACTCATTCGGTTTATGAGGAGTAAACGCCCGAATAGATCAAATTTCGGGCGCACCACCAGTGTTGAAAGGGTCGTACTCAAAGAAATACATACAATTGCCGTAGAAAACCAAGCGGGCACCTGAACTAATCCCAAAGCGGTTTAAAATGCCAGACGTGCCAAAGTATGATGGAACTTCGGATCCTCAAGAGCATATCACCACCTATACAACAACAATGAAGGGAAACAATTTAGCTCCCCACAAGATTGAGTTCGTTTTGCTGAAAAAGTTCGGGGAAAATCTTACGAAAGGAGCCCTGACGTGGTATTCACTTTTGCCCAAGCATTGCATAGACTCCTTTGAGATGCTCACGGATTCTTTAGCCAAGGCCCATGCTGGGGCTAGAAAAGTACAGGCCCAAAAGGCCGATATATTCAGGATTGCGCAAAGAGAGTGTGAGTTGCTGCGGGAGTTCGTAACCAGGTTCCAAAAGTAAAGGATGTTGCTATTAGCCATTTCGGATGAATGGGTGGCCGAAGCATTCACCACGGGTCTGAATTCGAGAAGTTGCAACACCTCCCGGAAGTTGAAGGAAAGTTTGCTCGAGTTCGAGGCAACAACTTGGGCGGATGTTCACAATCGGTACGAGTCGAAAATAAGAATTAAAGATGACCAGCTCGATTTTCCGGCGTCGGTTAAAGGTCGGGATCGGGAGAAGAATAAAAAGAAATCGAAAGACGATTTTGATATGGGTCGACGGTCTTCGAGGAGTCAGTTTTTGCCCTATGAATGGGCCGGAGGACGTGGCAGAGGTTTCCGGTCGGCGGGCACATTCTCTGCCGATAGAAGAACCTATCGCGGCCGAAACAACAGGTCGTTGCAGAACGAGGAAATGTTAGATTCTTTCTACCCTAGACTTTACGAATACAACTTCAATGTCGGCGTAGTGGAGCTGGTATTGGCCATGAGGAACGTAAAAGAAGCACGATTCCCGAAGCCAATGAGATCTGATCCCGGTCAGAGGGATCTTAATTTGTGGTGCGAATACTACGGGAAAAACGATCACCGGACTGGGAATTGCCGGCATCTGTGTGAAGAGGTGGAGATATTGCTAAAAAATGGCCATCTCAGGGAATTTTTGAGCGACCGGGCTAAAAATAACTACGATCGCAATCGTGATAATGCAGAGCCTTTAAAAGCAGGAAAGGATCCCCCACGCTTGGCGATCAACATTATTTTCGGGGGGACGAGATCAACGGGGTTACATTTTTGGCGATGAAAAAGACGAAAGTATCAGTGACCCACAGCAAAAGACTCCGGGAAGTTGCTAAAGACGACATCACTTTTACGGAGGAAAACGCTGATGGACTGCTTCTGCCGCATAACGACGCCCTGGTAATTTCTCTAATTGTCTTATATTTCAAGATTAAACGTGTTCTAGTAAATCTAGGAAGTTAGGCCAATATCATATAAGCCAAGCACACCAGAAGTATCATTCCGGCCACAAAACTGCTCACCGATTTAATTTGGCAAGCGTGATAACCCAGGGAGAAATCTATCTGCCTACGAATTCCATGGGGATGATGAAGACGACCCTTTTCGAGGTAGTGGATGGTGATATGGGTTGCAATCTCATTATGGGGAGACCGTGGCTGCACGAAATGAAGGTTGTGCCGTCAACGTATCTTAAGTTGATGAAATTTCCAACTCCCGAGGGAGTTAAACAAATAAGAGGTGACCAACCGGCAGCAAGGGAGATGAATGCAATCTTAGTCTCCAGTAGCAAAAGGAAGGAGCATGCAGCATAGCAATTACAGGAGTCGTCACATGTTCCTGAGCCAAGCGAAGTCAACCAGGGGGAAGGGGCGTTGAAATCGTATCAGGTGCCAAGGTATTTCAAGGTACCAGAAGAGACGGACGCAACAAAGTCCACAACAGAAGAACTTGAGCAAGTCGCATTTTTTGAGAAATTCTTGGAGCGGAAATTCCACTTGGGAACAGGTTTGCACCCCGAACTCATGTTTGGTTTTATTAATTTCTTAAATTTTATGTCGATTGTTTTGCGTGATCGCATGCGGATATGACAGGTATCCCGCCGGAAGTGGCCGTACACAAGCTAAGCTTGGATCCCAGCATTCCTCCGGTAAGGTAGAAAAAATGTCCTATTGTCGAGGCCAGAAATAAATTCATCAAGGAAGAGGTAACTCGCCTGCTTGATATCGGTTCAATCTGAGAGGTAAAGTATCCCGACTAGATAGCTAACACAGTAATATCAAAGAAGAATAATAAATTTCGCATGTGCGTAGACTATAAGGACTTAAATAAGGCGTCAACATTGATCAAATGATTAATGCAACAGCCGAGC